GGCTCCTCGGCCTCCTCTGCCATCGCCCTGCGCTCTGCGCGCTCTGCCTGGAGCTCCTCCAGTTCTTGGGCCTCAGCTTTTGTGGAATGATGTACACTGATGGCAGAGGAGAAAGTGGTGGCGGTTTTCGCTTACAGCAGAGCACTGAGCTCATGGCCAAGGTGCACCCGATCTCGATAATCTCACTCGCCTCTTGATCCTCTCTCAGAGCTTTTCAAGTTGAGGAAACTAGAGGCGATCTTACAGCTCGCGGCTCGCACCAGCCTTCTGCGTCAGCTCATGCTGAAGCTCCTCGACCTGCACTCGGCCAAAAACACTACCATGCAACTTTGTGTTCGTCATCCGCTCATTCTTGTTGCATCTGCATCTCCGTCACATGATGTGCTTTCGCAGCTCTGATCATGTAGCCGAGCCCTTCGGACGAATTCCCCGCTGTTGAACGTTGCTTGGGATGAGGGCTCTGAAGCCGGGCGTCCAACAAATCGGGCTGCAAATCGCCATAGTGTAAGCCAAAAGCCCAAGATTTCGGAGCCGAGCTGCTGTGACCTCGGACTCCAAGATCACGGAGAGTCGCCTTAGGGTCCCCGCCGCTTATAGGGGCTCTCACACGATTTTGGAACTCTACCCAGCTAACTCTCTGGCTGTGTTGTTTGAACCCGTGCTGAGGCTGAGGCCGAGGAGGTGTGGACGGGAGAGAGAATTATGTATCTACCAATTCCTGCATGCATGAGAACCAAACATAAAATGTGTCTAAGCCGTTCCCATACTTGGAGGATCATGGGACTTAGTAAGTAAGGTTCTAAGTCCCCAAGGGTGGGGCTATAAGTACAGTTACCTTAGTTATAACCCTACTTACTAAGTCCCATGACCCTTTAAGTTATCTCAACCCTTAAAGTCGAAACCCTTTTACACAGCCTTGATCGGGCAGGTTCCCCACGGCACATCGCACTCGTGGCGCGATGCGCAAGGCTAAGTACGCACAATCCTCATTATCTTACGAGCTAACCTGCCGGATAAGCTCTTGAAAGACCTGACGCAGTGATGATCCTGATAGATGGAGTCGAAGCCCTAAACCCTAAACCCTAAACCCTAAACCGTCCCAAACCCTCACTTCACGTTGTCTGGGCTCTCGGCTCCTCGGCCTCCTCTGCCATCGCCCTGCACTCTGCACGCTCTGCCTGGAGCTCCTCCAGGACCGGAGCCTGAGCTTTTTGGAATTCCTAGAGAATCCTAGGAATTCCTAGAGAATCCTAGCAATTCAGTGGTGTGATTTATACTGATGGCATGGACAAGAGTCGCGAAGACCTGCGCTTGGCAAAACAACGACTTCCTGTCACTCGCTTATGGCGCACCTGACCTCGACACCTGACTGATGCTCCCCTCATGTGGATTTCAACCATGGAGTCAACTCTTTAGAAGGTCGTGCCTGCACTGTGCTTGGAAGACCAGAAGCCGCCATGCACTGCTCCAACTCAGGCTCCACGGCCGGGGACATGCTGCCTTAGAGTAACGAGACGAGCATGCAACAGGGTGAAGACGAGCAATTCCCGTTGGGCATTCAAGGCACTGTGCATCTCATCCTTCAGTTCCTGCTCGGCGAAGTAGAGCCTCCTTTGTCATGGCAGGAATGGGTAAGTTGCGAGGCCGACCAAAAGCATGTCAACCCTTTCGAGCTGCTTTCCAAGCTGCTGGTTCAGTTTGTTGACCATTTGCGACAGAGCATGAAAAGCCCCCTGCACCCGGTCGTCTTTCAAGCCAGTGCCTGCTTCGTTATACAGAGGTGGCTGCAAAACCCCCTCGTCGTGGTATCTGCAGCTGAAGTGAAGTGGCCGGGGCCCGCGCGCTGAGGATCTTCCGGCACCGCGACACCCAGCACATCCTACGTGAAAAGTGGCTCTTCGCTGTGAGCTTTGCGAGTACATGTGATACACCTGCAAGACCAGCATCCCTGCATTCGACGTGCCTCTGCCTCGATGGGATCCGCTCTGACTGGGCTCGAAGGTGCGGACAACATTTGTTCCATCTTGGCCTTTTCAAACGAGTGTTGGCACCAACCGCACCAAGTGTGGGTTTGAAGTTTGATGCCACGCCTCTGGTGCGCAACTATAATTATCTAAGTGCACGTGCACTGGTTGTTTCTGCAGGCAAGGCGCCACTTCGGACTTCAACATTTCACAAACGCGTTGCTGCTGTGCTGCCTGCTGGGAAAGCAAGGCAACGCCCCTCCAGCATGCAGCAATGCCATGTTCACATGAAGGCATGCAGAGGCTCCCTTTAAGGTACACATCGTGGAACCTGTGGGCCGCAGATAATTTGAGAGACATGTGGCCCAAGCGCAAAGCAAAAAGGGATCCTCTGGCAGGACAAGGTTAAGGGGTTTAAAGTTGAGGGACTCCTTCCTGATCATGTGCCCTCCACATTGCATGAAGCCCACTGCTTTCTCAACAACTTTAGCCTTCACCCCGTGACTGCCTCGGCTGCTTCCTGCATGGCTAGGGCTTTGGCGCTGTGCTTGGAGAGCTCGGACATTGCCTGTCAAATCAAGGTCTCCGCGACGCTAGTCGGCTTTATTTAGGGGTCCTAATCCTGATGCTAGCTGCTAGGGATCCTACTTAACTGGGTTTGTTTTACTTCGGGTCGTTTGTATTCTGAAACGCCCGTCGCACACGGGCTGGTGAATCAAAACGACTGCTTGCTTGCAAAGCTGCCTGCTGCTCCTGCAGCTGTGCCTGGTATTCAGCCACCAGCGCGTCTCGGCTTGTCTGATTTGCCTCAGGATTCACACAACACCGGCATTACGCTGAACCCCGTAACCCCTACACTCCTACTAGCTCCTACTTCAGCCCTCTCCGAATGAAAGCGGCCCATGCAAACGAGTTTCTTCGACCTCTTCCTGCAGCTGCCTCTCCAGCTTTCTTTCCTGCAGATGCAGAAAGGCGGCTAACGGGCTCCGTTTCGTCTGCGTAGGGCCGTTCTGAAGCTTGCCCTAACGCAAGTGCAGATCAGAACGGCTCTGGGATGTCATTTGGCTTCTACGAGTTCTATGATGAAGTATGCTCTTATAACCTCTTATACATCCCTATGCCCAGGCTGGATCTACATTATAGGATCTCCCTTAATGTCCCATCCCTGGCTATAGGCCCTCAGTGTGACGAACGTGCAGTTCTCTTCCAGCCATCCTGGAGCTCAGCTTCTGTGGCGCGCTGGTGATGTTCAGCAGCTCGCTGTCGAGCGTCGCTGGCCTGATGCAAAAGCCATGTTCGTACATCAGACCATGCAGCCGCTGCAAGTATGGCTGAAACTCGAAGAAGAAGCGGAACATTTGCGGGTCGCACATGTCGTGCAAACATGGCATGAAGTCAGCCCTTCTGTCAACAACTTTACACCCCCCCCCCTCCACCCACGCCACCCTGGCTGCCTCGGCTTCCTGTATTGCCAGGGCTGTGGCGCTTTGCTTAGAGAGCTCGGACATTGCCTGTCAAAGGAGGGTCCGAACGAGTTCGCGGAAGCTCCCAACCGTCTCCAAGATACGAGTACCTGGTTAAAGCTTCCTCATGCTAAAGACTATTTCGGGTCTGCCTTAGGGTCCTCTGTTTCTCAAACTCGCTTCTCTCGCCGGCTGCTGAATCCAAACCGCCATTCAATGCTTGCTTCCCCGGGTGTATGCTGCTCCTGCAGCTGAGCTTGGTATTCAGCCGCCAGCGCCGCTCTGCCCTTCTGATTCAACCACGGAATGACACCATGCAAGCGAGTTTCTTCGACCTCCTCCTGCAGCTCCCTTTGCAGCTTGCTCTCCTGCAACTGCGGATGGGGTGTCTGGCTCTAGCAGTAAAGAAGGGCTTCTCAAAGAGAGAGAGAGAGAGAGAGAGAGAAAGAGAGATTATATATATATATATGCATATACAAATTCAAGGGTACCCTATGCTTAACACTACCTATACCAAAAGTCCGACTCTCTTGGAGGCCTACATTCGGATTTCTTAATCTTAAAATGATCCTCACTGCTGGTTACAGGCCCTCCGGTGTCAATTCAAGCAATCCTGGAGCTCAGCTTCGGTGGCGAGCAGTTGATGCTCAGCAGCTCGCTGTCGAGCGTCGCTGGCCTGATGACAGGAAACTTGTTGGCATGAGGGCACGCAGAGGCCAAAGCCCGCGAATGATGAGCATGACCTCGAACAAGCTGCGAGCCCGGATTGAAATTTCAGGGCGCGTTCGCTCCACATTGAAGGAAGCCAGCCCTTCTGCCAACAACTTTATCCCCCCACCCCGTACCCCGTGACGGCCTCGGCTTCCTGTGTTGCCAGGGCGGCGGCGCTGTGCCTGGAGAGCTTGGACACTGCCTGTCAAGCGAGGATCTCAGACTCAACGAGGTCGCATGGAGCTCCCGAACCGAATAAGCTCTGCCTTATTTAGGGCCATTTAATAAGGATCCCACTACTTGTATCTGTTTTAGGGTCCCTTGAAGGTCTCTTGTTTGCCGAAACTCCGTCCCTCGCCGTCCAAACCTCTATTGCTTGCGCAGATGCCTCTTGCTCCTGCAGCTGAGCTTGGTGTTCAGCCGCCAGCGCCACTCTGCTGTTTTGATTCGCCTGGACTTCAACAAGCACCGGCATTACACTAAACATCTACGTGAGCCCTGCCGAATGAAACCGGCCCATACAAACGAGTTTCTTCAATCTCCTCCCGCAGCTCCCTCTCCAGCTTGCTCTCCTGCAGCTGCCAGTGCAGCTGGGGTTTCTGGGCTAGGGGTGGGTCATTCGGTCTTAGAAGGGCTTCTTAAAGGTATACAGGGTACCCTATGCAAAAGAATACTTCTACCAAGGGTCCGACTGTTTGGGGGTCTACATTCGGGATTCCTTAATCTTAAATTGATCCTCACCGTTGGTTACACCCTCAGTATGACGAACGAGCAGTTCAATTCCGGCAATCCTGGAGCTCAGCTTCTATGGAGAGCTGTTGATGTTCAGCAGCTAGCT